CAGTCTCCCACACTGATTGCCTTTTTCTTCCAGTTATAGGCCTCATAATGCTATTATTCTTTTTCAAGAAATTTAGAATTGTTATAATGAATATGAATATACCTTTTCTATTTAGATCACAACATTAAAAAGGAAGAAGTGGAGGTACAATGTTAGGACCAAAAGAGAAATTCCATTTCAAGTAATTCACAGGCTTTTATTCAATAGTATAACATACTTTCTCTTATTGAAGCCTGAAAGTTATTTGGTCTGTAGCTCTGCTGAGTACTTGTCTCTGGTTCATTACAGCTGGTGTTGGTAGTGCTGAGTTTATCATTTCCTTCTTCCTTCTGCTCTGAGTTTACAATTCCCTTCTTCCTCTACAGATTGTAAAAGACATGCAGCAAATGAAAAACAGACACATGAAGATAATGAGAAAACTAGATGATATAAGGAAAGAAAAGCAGGTGATTATACTGGAGCATTAGAACTCTTGACCATTAATCAAAGTGATACAGAGAGATAAAATCTACTTCATTCACAATTAAATATCCATTCCTGTACCATTCTTTGTGCCTGTAAATAATGCCAGTGTATCTTGAAGTGTATTTTATCTTACAACTTTGTGAAGTCTGGTTTTACTTTTTGTCTGGCACAATTGCAGAGATTTTTCTAAAATTTACCTGTTACTGAAATTTTATCTTAATAACACCTTCATGTCATGACTGGCACCATGGTTTCAACACTTGCATTTCCGTAGGCTGTGCCTCTCAAGAATGTCTGCATTGTTAAGGGCTGTGCCAGGCTGTACTGCCTTTATGGATTTTTATTTTTCTGTGTGTATTCTTTATCTGCTTTTTACTTAGCTTGGCTTTAGCCTTGTAATATTTTTTCCGTGTAGATTATAGCATAACAGAATCTCTTAACATGTAAACTCCTTCAAGGTGACAATGAGAATCCAGAATGGCTCTGCCTGGAGGAGGAAAAGCTGGGGGGAAAAACAGCATGGTGAGACTGGAGCCTGGAGCTGAGAGTCAGTCTCAGATGTGACCTAAATTCCACAATACCTCTCTTTCCTTAGTGGAAGCATTTCTGCATTCCATTAGTCAATAATTGTCCCAAAAAGATGGAATTACCTACATCATTTTTTACTACTCTTTTGACATCTTTTCTTGCAGTTACAGCTTCTTGTTTCTGTCTATTTGTCACATTATTCTCCTTTTCTGATCCATGGTAAGACAAGCATTCAGTTCCTATGAAGAACAATGCTTTCCAGACCGTTAAAGTTTACTGTGGGCACTCAGAAAGAGGAGATTCAGAAGTTCCTCTAAAGCCATCAAGGGGAAGTGAACAAACTCTTCTGACTGTCAAGTAAAATCTAGAGAATTTCCTGTATGTCATGTACAAGGGCTAGATACCCTTTGGAGTAGAACAAGATTTCATCTTGTTCTCAGGTTGTCACATCTGCACAAGCATTGTATACCAGTGTAAATCCATTTCTGAATTTGTTAGGGATGTACCCCTGGCACAGTCACTTCTTCCACTTTCAACTGACTACAGATCACTAAGGGAAGAGAACAGGGAAGAACACAGATGCATAGCAAGACACAACAGCCTCCTGGGCAGTGATGCAAACAAACACTGTGTAATGACCTTACTTCACATAATCGCTCTAATTTTTGTTGTTATGTGGATTTTTTTTTTAATGATACTTCCAAACTTTCCCTGTCTAAGTTTAATTTCTTTAAAATTGCTTAACTGCACTTGGGTGACTTCATTCTGATCTGCTCTGAGAAAGGCTATGGTTTTTATTTCTGAAAAAAAAACACCATTAAATATGTGTTATTTTAGAAGTAAGTTTTGCTTGAAGTCTGCATTTAATGACAGTACAAACCTTCTGTGACCAATAGTAAGTGTTTGCAGACAATAAAAAACATTGAATAAAGAGAATAAAGAGAACCTGATATGGAAACAGTTTCCTTTATTGCGCCTTTCTGTTCTCATCACTATTAATTTTCTCAAAAATATTTTGTTATAAAGGAGGAGACTATAACTACTCTAAAGAAACATTACAGTGAGAAAATGAGATGTCTGAAATCCCATTTAGAGGCTTACCAAGAGCTGATGAACAAGAGCAGCATACATTGGCAAGATACAGTTAAGGTAAACAAGTATTTCTGTTTTACATGGCACACATTTACAGAGGCTGCAGGAACAGGCTTACAATTAATGCTCTCTTCTTATAGACAGACAGTTTAATGAAAACAGGTGGTTTGTAAAATTTTACTTTAAAACAAGCTATGGTTTTGTCCTTCTGGAGAATAATAAAGCTTTGCACGGTATGCTTCCAAACCAGTTTTCATAGCTTGGCCTATCTGTGCTATGCACTTGAAAACATCTTTGCTTTCATGTAAATAATCTGTGAAGGATATTCCTAGAATATATAGGATGTGCTGTTTATTTGATGATGAATAGATATTAAGGTTTTCCTCTTCCTCCTTCTGTTCTGCAACTGAGGAAAAGGTTCAGAGTCCTCAAGCATTTAGAAAGGGTCTTTAGAAACAGACTACCTCTGGCCACAGATGGTCATTGCTAAATGAGGAATTTTAATTTTATAAGATCCACAGGGTGGATCCAAATGTCTGTCTGCCTGGTCCAAATGTCATGAATTTTCAAGGTGTAGAACAAAAAAACTCAAACTGTATGCCTTTCTGAAAAATAGTGTTGCAATTCTCATCCCTTTTGCCTTATTTTACTGCCTGCAGAACCTGAGAGAAAGAAACAGACAACTGATCCAAGACAAGGAAGATCTTCTTTACCAAATGAAACAAAGAACACAGAACTGGAGAGAAGAAAAGGTAAAGAAACAGATTTTGTGTTTTCTTTTTGGAGTCAGATGGTGTTCATGCTATTGTTTCCAGTGTGTGCTGTTTGTCTGCCTGTATACATTTAGATATGTACCTCTAAATCGGTGAATATTGAGCTACTATGCACTTGCCTTCCTTTATTTCAGAGAAAAATGTGTGTTTTCACCCTTAAACAGCAATGAAGATGACATATGCTGTTTTTTCTTACTAGATTTTTCTTTCCACTAAAAATTATTAGAGGGTCATTTCTCTTGCATTCCACTTTTTATGTCTTTTTTGAAGAATTTTAAAATTACAATTACAGCACATTGCTTCTTCCCTATTTAGCAATTAAAATTAAAAATCAACAAAAGCATCTCATTGTCTACATTACTGCAATATTGCATTTCAGCTGGATGACACAGCAGCAAAACTACCTTATTGGGTGGCTCCCAGGGAAAGCTCCTTAAAGTTCCTGAGGCTTTCCAACTTTATCTGTAGTAATGGCACTTTAATTTATTAACAGCATATGTGTGAAAAAAAAGAAATTTGTTTGGTTTGTAATAGGTGGTATTGGTAAACATAGCCTAATATTTATAATTTTCTGTACAGACTTCTGCTCTGTTCTATATGTGCAACTCTTCCTTTAATTTTGCAACACCGCTTTGTTACAGCCAGTTTTCATTGCAGTTCTCCAAGACACGAACTCAGGAAGATCTTACCCAACTTGGTGCTAGGGAGTCATGGGGGAGGGAGGGGATCTGGGGGTGGGGTCTGTGAGGCAGATTGTTTTTAAATTCGTGAAACTGAATGCAAATTTCTGTATGATTTCTGAGTAAAGATCTCAGGCAGTTTTTAAAGTTTCTCTTTTGAAGTGTCCTAGCACCACCTTCTGTTTAAGTTCTGCATGGCACCAGTATTTATAATCAGGGTTTCCACTTTTCAAACACATTGAGCTGTGCCCACAGTTATAATATCCTATGCCTTATTGATAAACTGCAAAAAAAAAACAAACAAAACAAAACAAACCCTGGGGTTTACAAATCTTTTGACCTAATTATTATATATCGAGAAAATGTAGCAAAAGTATTATAATGAAGAGTTAAAATGATGAGGATACTATGTTCTAAGGCTTGTGGGAAGAAGGAATATTTTCTGTTAAGCAGATAATGCTGTTAACATTTGGCATGCATAACCTTTTCTGCAGGGTTGTCATCAGAATTTTTCCAAAAGCTTTTGTTATTTAACTGTTTTAGGAGAATCAATCATTTTGTCACTGTTATCATTTTCATTTCAGCAGTGTGGACAAGTGCTTGAGAAAGTATAAACTCAGGACCCCTTGACTGAGGCTCTTGTGAAAACACTGGTGCTTGAGCAGTCTCTGGTTTGTTTCTGTATTTTCTTGTCCAGTGACTTCTAATTTTACTGCTCAGTACCCATTTGTGTTTGTTGTATACCTAAGTAGCAACAACATTATTTCCTTATTATTGATTATTCTCCCCAAGGAAATATAATGAAAATTGGCATTGATTTCCTGCTATTCTTCTTTTCTTGTCTTGCAGGTCTGGATTCTAGAAAACTTGTGTAAAAAGCTAGATTACCTTTATACACAGCACACACTGAGTGAGTGTTTCAAATGCAGAGTTTCTTGATCTTTTTAAGTTTCTTCCCTGTTTGCTCTTTTGTTTACACTAAGCTGCATACCTGCTGAAGTCAATATAAGTATTTCCTTTTCAATACTGTGTGTGCAGGTGGAATAATAAAAGAATGTTGAAGCTACAAATACTGCCTGTAATGATTCCAAACTCCTTAGTACACCTCGCTATTTACAGTCAGCATAATTTCTCAGTAGGTTTATTTCAACAATTGTAGCCTTTCCTTTGGAAATGTAAAGCAAAGCAAAGCTTGAAAATTCTTTGAATTTAAATAAATAAAAATGAGTTATTGGTGAAAATGAAATATTGATTATTAAAAAAATATTGGTTTGTGACAAATTCTTGATTTCTAAAGGGAAAGTATTGTCCCTTTAGTGTCTTGATTTCTAAAGAGACAATACTGTTGGAACTGCAGATAAAAAATGCTGAAGTTATTCTTACCTGGTTTTCTATTGCTTTCAATTCAGCTTTACAGGAACTACACAACATCAGTTTACATGTGGAAAGATTGCAAGACCTCATGAATTTCCAGATAAAAATTCTTCAACAAAAGTCTGAAACGGCAGGAGGACAAAATTCAGATGTGTCAAAGGTTTTAGTATTAAAAACAGACCAAGTGAGCACAAAAATATAAATTTAACTATTAATTAACTATTAACTATAAATTTAACATAACAAATATAATTTGTTTATGGGATTACAGCAGGTATTTCAAAGTCAATCAGGATGAATCTTTCAAAAGCTGAAATCAACTATGGGCCGAACTGGTAGTAATTAAGGTGTGCAAATATATACATGGCTTGAGAATGATACATTTATGATTAATGATTAAAGCATCACAATAATGAAACAAACTCATTGGTTCTGGAATCACCATTAGTATGCTGTGGCTGTCATTATATATTTGATGGTAGACACTTTGCTACAAAGTTCTTTTAAGTATCCACCTCTTTGACATAGAAAAGACTATATTCTGAACATTGGAACCAAAGAAATCATCTTATTCAATATTTAATTTGCTTTTCTTAATTTCTGCTCCACCTTGTTCATTAAATTCTTAGTAGGTTTGTATGAAAGCATTCAAAATTTAGATCTTGGCTTAGTGTATAAGAGTTATCTTTTTGCCTGCAGGCAGTTAATGAAGAAGAGAAGACTGACTGGTCAGTGGAAAAGCAACATCTTTGGCAAGCACTTACCATCCTACAAGAGATAGAAGAATCTTTACAGAAACGAGAGAGGGAAGTCACTGAGCTCCTACAAAGTGAAAGAAGATTTTACAAGGCAATGAAACCTCAAGTGACAGTGCTAATATTCTTGAAATCTCTTATCAAGATGGTAAGAATACAGTTTTGGCAAAGATGAAAGTTTATTTAATGAGCTTTCTAAAAATTTCATGAAAGAAAATGAGTGCAGTTTAGTTTATTGATGTTATAGTCTTAAAAATGGTGAAAGCTTATTTTTTAGACGTTAGTAAGATTTTCTGAATAACACACATTATTAAAGACCAACTTGAATACTCATGACATTTTTTATAAAGATAAATTAATGAAGCAGGAGAATGGTACCATGGAAAAAACATGTTTTTCTAGCCTTTCAGTTATGTGAACTGCATGAAATGCAACTTTTCATCCATGTTAGGTTCACACCATATATTGTGATGTTCCTGAGGCACAGCAATGCATCTATCAGCTTATCAGGAAGAACAAAGATGAAAGATCTGTTCGGGAAGAAGTTTTTAATAATGCTCAAGCTGACATTCTGTCCTATGAAATGTTTTGTGGAAATGAACTTATGGATGACACAAGGTATATTGAATAGTTAATAAAACAAAGATAGATATAACATAGAAAAATAAGTAGCTTTTTTCACAGAGAGAAAAATATATTTTGAAGAATGCTGTTGTAGTTTTTATGTCTATTTATAGGGGGAAAGTATTAAAGTATTTTCTATATCTATATTGTGAAAGAAATCACTAACTTAGAAATACCTTGTATAAAAAGCAGAAAAACATTTCAACTGGCTTGTGCAAGTTTTCTCCACTGTATTATAAAATATGCTGAAATAGGCTTATTTGACAAACCTGTGCTAAAACATCAATGTCTTCTCTTTCTACTTTTTCTACAGGAAGTTCCTGAAAAATTAGCCTCTTTATAAATTAACTTCCTTACAAATAACTTCTAAGGGTTTTTTTTTTTAAATTATTTTTCTTTCTTTCTTTTTTTCTTTTTTCCCTTTTTTTTTTTTCTTTTTAACGATAGGACACACCTCCCAACGAAGCTTTTCAGAAACATTGGGAAAGCAAAGTGTGATTTAGAATATGTTGAAACAGAAAAAATAGTGTTTGACTGTATCCAGACAGGAGAAATCCCCAACTGGATTAAAAGGGATTGTCTTTATGTAGCCTGGTCAGGTGAGAAATCCTCTTGTCAAATCACAGAAGCTTAACTACCCTCACCCTACTAACTTTTGAATACATGAAACAACAGTGAAGCAATAAAAAGTATGTTGTTGCCATGCCTTAAGGGTTTCCATACCACATCTTCCATTTTGTGCATGTCAGTGAGCTACTATATGAATTGTAATAATGGGTCATGGCTTGTAAACACAGGACTTCTGAATTTATACTCCACCATGCATCTTTCTTTGGTATTTTTATCATTTTGAAAATAGATGTCTTTTTATATTGTGTCTAAATATCTCAATGCATGTTCTAGGTAGTTGCACCCAGAATCTCCCCAGATTTGGCAGACATGCACTGAATGAAATAACAAATGTGGAATTCACAAGGCAGTAACCCCTTTTCACAAAAACTTAAAAATATCCATTGCATGAATTTAACACACTGTGCTCTTCTAGTGGGACTAGCAGAAAATGTTTTTCAAATATTTGATTTGCTTTTTCTGCAACACAAAGTCTGGTCTTGGTGACTTAGGGAGAGCAAGGCAGATGTGTTCTTCTATTTGAAAAAAAATGATTATTTCTAATTTAGAAGATTAACTGGGTTATGTATTGATCCTGTGTAATTATATATTTATGGGAACTCTCCAGAAGACCCTGAAATACGCCCTGAAGAGATAGAGTCACCATTCCGAGGAACTCCTGCAGAAGTTTAAAATGGAAATCAAGGTAATACCTCACAATGTATCACCCCACATGGTTTTAAATAAGCTATTAATAATGTGTTCGTTTTCCTAGCTATTCTTAGGGGGTTTGAGATTTGCTCTTTTTCTGTGATGTCTAAGCACATTTATATCCAAGAATGACATAGTTTTGTCAGCTAGTGAATTGCAGGATTACGGTTTGCTGTGTATGAAAGGATTCCCATATTGTATTTTGCACCTGTATATCTATCGCTTTGTTCATGTACAAGTGTTTATGTGTCTTGGTGGCCCTTGATATTTATTACAAGTAAAATATATCAGAATCATAGGACTTTTTAGACTGCAAAAGACACTTATGATCATTCAGTCCAACCATTAACCCAGTACCAGTCACCAGTCAAGGTGACTACTAAACTTGGTCCCTAAGAGCCACATTTACATAGATTTTTAAATGGCTCCATCTATGGTGATTCAACCACTTCCCTGTACAAACTGTTCTAGTGATTGGCAACCCTCTACATGAAGAAATTTTTCCCAATATCCAGTCTAAACCACCCCTGGCTCAATGGAACTTGTGGCCATTTCCTATGGTCCTGCCATTTGTTTCCTGGGTGAAGAGTATGTATTTCTCCCTCACACTCCCACCTCCTTTCATGTAGTTGCAGAGAGCAATAAGGTCCCCCCAAGCTTCCTTTTCTCCAAGCTAAAAACCCACAGTTGCCTCAGTCAATCCTCATAAAATTTGTGATCCAGGCCCTTCACTCCTCAGCACAACAGGGACATGGACCTCCTGGAATGCGTCCAGGGGAGGGGTACAAAGAAGGTTAAGGGACCAAAGCATCTGTCTTACAAGGAAAGGCTGAGGGAACTGGGCCTGTTCAGCCTCAAAAGGAAAACCAAGAAGGGCCTTATCAATGTTTGTAAGTACCTGAAGGGAGGACATCAAGAGGATGGAGCCAGGCTCTTCTTGGGGGTAATGAGTGACAGGACAAGGGTCAATGGGCAGAAACTGATGCACAGGCAGTTCCACCTGAACATGAGGAAGAATTTTTTACTGTGCAGGAGACTGGAAGTGTTCATCCAGAGAGGGTGTGGAGTCTCCCTCAGTAGAGATATTCAAAGAACCATCTGGACACAATCCTGTGCCATGTTCTGTGTGGCAGCTCTGCTTGAACAGGGCAGCTGGACCAGATGACCCATTGTGGTCCCTTCCAATTGGGCTCATCCCAATTGGAAGGGACCTGTGATTTTCTGCTGAAATTGACCCAACTATATATATTAAAATGCATCAAAGGCCAGAGTGCAGTAATTTTGATAGCAGATATTTCGATTGTTGAATCCCAAAGTGAACAGGTTCAAAATTTCATTACCTAATTACTTATACTTATCCTACACAGATGCTAAGATAACAACCATCATGTCAAGTCAATGTAGACAAGTTCTTAATTGGTAAATATAGAATAAAAACTGTAAATTATATTATTGCTAATTTTTAATTTTATTATTTGTTGCATTTTTATGTTTGGTTTTGTTTTGTGTTTTCAGGTTTACCAAGTAATGAAGAAACACTAAGAAACCAACACTGAAACAAGCTCCCTATTTCAGAGAGAAGCACTGGAGAGAAACCTTGACACACAAAAGCATTTTCTGCAGTATTTTTTGAGTGGACAAAAAACTGGAAGCATTCAATGTATGTAGTTCACTAAATATCAGAACACTTAATTATCAGGCAAAGTGTTTTGAAAACTTTACGTATAACCTAGGGTGATGTTATGATGCTTGTATTCCCAGTCATCTGTTCTGTTTTTGCTGGATATTATGTTCTGTGCTTTCAAGACTAGCTCATAAAAGCAAAGTTTTGTTTTGTTATCAGCCTGCTCACTCCCCCACAGTCAGCGGGACACAGATGGCACAGTACATAGGGCAGCTTTTGCTTTTTGCTCTTGCTTTTTCTTGTGCTCTTGCTCCTGCTTTTGCTCTTGCTTTTGCTTCTGCTCGTTAGTTAGTTTAGCTAGGCAGTCTGAATTTTCCCTGGCCTGTCTTTCTTTCCCTTTTCTTGGAACCACTCGAGCCTCCTCCGGACTGGACCCGGGAAACATCGAGTTTCCACTTTGTGGCTGCAGCAACCATTCCCAGCACTGGAGGGACCGATAATACAGCAACCACCCACCGGATTTGTCATCTCTTCAGAGCAGTGAATCAGTTTTGTCATCCAGTATTGTTCATTTTGTGTGCTGGGGAGTGTTTTCGGTGTTAAATAAGCAGGTTCTTTCCATTTCTCTGAGGAATCCTTCCCGAACTGGCTGGGGGGAGAGGCCGTGTGGATTTGCTTTCTGGAGGGACCCAACCTTTGGAGGTTTTCTCCCAGATTTGCTCTAAACCAGGACAATGCTTTTTAATAAACATTTTAAAGCAATCTTCTAAAAGAAATAAACAAAAAACCAGCTTAGCAATGACCTGAAAGAGCCTGTGACTGAGCAAAGGAGTCTTTAAGTCAAACAGGTATAGTTCTGTTGCAAGTGGACGTGGTATATAAGTTTTTGCTGTCTAAAGGGGGGTATTTAACATGCCCCCACAAGCAAGATCCGCAGAGATGGACCCCTAAGGCTAACTTTCATCTGTGAAGCGCAGCCTCCAAAATTAATTTTGCTTTGTCCTACTTCAAATTATTTAGCAGTTGTTTTAAAGTGCTGGCTTTTATACCACCGTATGCGTTTCTACTTTTCACACTCTCTTTTTTTTTTGTTAAAATAAATTATGATTTTAAAAAAATCATAGATAGGAAGAAAACTTTAAAAATATAAACTTCAGAAATGTAATAGTAATAAGGGGCAAATTAATGTGAAGACGATGATTGCTGTTGTTGAAGACAACAACTTGTCTCTAACAAATAGTTGTTGAAGATGATAATGCTAAGTTCCTGGAAGTAAATGCACACTGGAATTTTAAATACCAAATGTGTGCATTTAGAGTTGGGTTGACATTTTATTGTTGTCTCTTAAGCATGTGTACCTGGAGCTGAGTGGTTTATTTGAACTACCCAGCTGCATCATGTCCCATATCATAAGCTGAAAAAATTTTGTATTCCAGCACTGATCTATAATTCAAATAGTAATATCCACAAGCTTTTTTTTTTTTTTTTTTTTTTTTTTACTGCATGTCTGTTCATAAGGTGCATCTTCTAGGTTTGCATCACCTATCCAGAAAGAACATGGATGAAACATCCCTATGACAGTGCTTTTGTGCAAACAAATTGATGTGTACTTATCACTGTCCTCGTGGGAACTGTCCTTCTGGGAACTGTAGTACTGGGAACACGATGTCTGTTCCTGAGGGCCATTATGTTCTCAGGGCATTTTGCATTTGAATGTTAGAGTGCACTGTGAGACTATCTGAAGGGAACGCAAGAGAAAAGAAACAAGGACTTAGATGTCACTGAAATGTAGATGCATTATGGTGAAGATGCTGTAGACAAAAACAGCTAAAGTGGATAGAGAGGGTGATCTTGAGTGCTTCACTGTGAACAGATCACTCCAAGATGTAGCAACACTGACTGGTAAGTCCAAGGTTTAGACAGGACAGAACCAATTCCAGTCCATCACAGAAAGAGAGATTAAACCTAAATATTTATAAAAGCTATATACAATCTATATGCAGGATGTACACATTGACACTGTTTGAATTTTTACTGCTGTTAGAATTTTGATTTTTTGGTTGTGAGACAGTTAAGGCAGTTTTAAATCAGCTTTGAAGAGTATGAGTCATGTGGAAAGCCAGAACACTGTTTTAAATGAAAGGAGATTTTTGAGGTGTGGTTCAGCTATCGAACTGTATAATGCAAAGTACTTGAACATTTTATATATAGAAGTGTAAAATAAAATATATTAACAACTCTATGGGAGGACCCGATGAGATTCAGGATCCCGAGAGAGTTGTCATAGCTGCTAAGTCATTTTCCATCAAATTTGAAAAATTGTGAGAGACAGTAACTGGAAAAAGCAAAATATAACGCCCATCTATAAAAGGGGGAAAGCAGAAGACCTATGGAACTACTGACTGGTCAGTCTCACCTTAGTGCCAGGCAAGATCATGAAGTAGATTCTCCCTGAAACTATGTTAAGGCACGGAAAATGAAGAGGTGGTTGGTAACAACCAAGATGCTTTGCAAAGGGGAAATCATGCCTGACAAATTTGGTGATCTTTGGTGATGGGGATAGAGCACTGGATAAGATGCAGAGCAACTGACATCATCCACCTGGATTTATGCAAAGCATTTGACACTGTCCCTGATAATTTTACTTCAGTATTTCTCTGCTGTATAGAAACAAACAAACCGAAGATTAAAAAGTAATGTAATTAAATTACAGAAGAATACAATGAAAAAACAAATAATAATTTAGAAAAATCACATTATCTAGAAACTTGATTTAAAAATTATTTTCTCTTATCAGGGAAGAATCTTAGCTGTAAAAGTCAAGTACTCTGAAAGAAAACTTCTGTATAGCTCTAATTAGCACATCTATTCTTTTGTCCTGAAAAAAAAATCAAATAATTTTTTTTTTCATCTTGTTCATAAAATAATGGATTTTTCTTGAGTAAAATATAATCACATGAATTTATTATTGAAATTTTATTTTAATGTCCTCTAATGATTCTCTATATGCACATGAAAAAAAAAGAAACAAAACAGAATAACAAACCAAACAAAAACAAACCAGGACAAACTAAAAAAAAAACAAAAACAAAACCAACCAACCAAAAAAAAACCGACACACAAAATAACCCACAAAAAATTCAGTAAATGTAAGCTAAAAGTCCCTATTCTAAAATACTCTGACATTCTCATGAATACCAGTTAAAAGCTTTGAATTACTTTATTAATGGCCAACAGCTCAAAAAATGTCTTTCTATTGCTGTTTGATAAACCTGGAATTTTTATATTAGTTGTGGTCGCTGAAATTATTTCAAAAGTTTTTTAAAAGGGATACATTTTCATCCAAAAATCTTTCTAG